TTTAGATTTTGTGTTGCCGTGAATAATGGGTATGATTAGGTATATGCATCTATGTGAATTGGTTGCCACTGCCCACCTTCTTCATCTTCGTCCATTAATGAATTACCTACAACTTTTTATAGACTTCAATCCATTCACTTTGCTTTCATAATGTTCCTTTTATGGCACCTCCCACATTAATACTAACCTTACCTCCATTTCTATGTGCCTCTCATCTTCTTATATGTCTTCTCTGGCTCTTCCTTTTTCCTTTTCTGTTAAACTTCAAACTAATATTTTCACATAACAAAACATTTGCATTTCAATATATTTTACTTCTTCAAGCTCATTTCTTAAAACAAACACTACTTATTTCATTCAAAACATATAATGAAATGTATTTGTTCTTGCTTCAATCATAGTCATGGTGGATAGAAAATTTTAACTTTTTGATCATATTTTTTATTTGAAAAATAATTTAAAATTATAAAGATGTTAAAAAAATTTTAAATTTGTTTAAGTTCTGTATTGAATTAAAATGTGAAAATTAAATGAAACTTATAAATTTATTTCTCATTTTAGATTGAAAGTGTTTTGGCTCACACTTTCTTCCGAGTTCGTTTAGGTAGTTATGAATATTCTTAGTCCAAATCCTTCTTTGTTCACGCTCCAAATTACTTTGGTGTACCAGTCAAAGACACTCTGAGGCTCAAATAAGTGATTAATCCTATCGGAGATCANAAACATATAATGAAATGTATTTGTTCTTGCTTCAATCATAGTCATGGTGGATAGAAAATTTTAACTTTCTGATCATAATTTTGATTTGAAAAATAATTTAAAATTATAAAGATGTTAAAAAAATTTTAAATTTGTTTAAGTTCTGTATTGAATTAAAATGTGAAAATTAAATGAAACTTATAAATTTATTTCTCATTTTAGATTGAAAGTGTTTTGGCTCACACTTTCTTCCGAGTTCGTTTAGGTAGTTATGAATATTCTTAGTCCAAATCCTTCTTTGTTCACGCTCCAAATTACTTTGGTGTACCAGTCAAAGACACTCTGAGGCTCAAATAAGTGATTAATCCTATCGGAGATCACAGTAAAATCTCAAATTTGCAATAAATGCAATTATTTATCTTTTTACTTTTCACATTTATTTATAGATTTCGTAACGGGCTTGTGATTAGTGAAGTCTTAATTACGACTCAATCCACTAAATAACTCTCACCCGTAATCATGATTAGAAACTATGTTTATGGGTACTTATTGTCGGAGGTTGTCAACTCGGTCTCTCATCCTCCACGACGGTGCAGTCGGTTAACAACATTTATTTATCTTGATTGTGTGGTACAGTGGTGCTAACCAATCGTCTTTCTGGATGGTCTTATCTGATTAGTCCCTTTTTGTAGCCGTATAACCATACAGTACATAAAATATTATTAATTCTCATACTAATGTTTTATAGGTATTGTATCTTTTTAATGATTATTTTTCGAAAGGTTTATATTCTAAAATAATTAGACAAAAGGGAGGGAAAATGAATAAATTTTTTTTAAGGAATATTTGAAATAATGGGGGCGTATGAAAAAAGGTAATGGTAAATCTAGTTTGATTTGAAAAAGAGAAAATTGCCTAAACCGAAGTTTCCTGCAGATTGATAAGGTTGTTTATCTCTTTATCTTGGTTGAAACAGATAGTTGTGTGTGTGTTTTTTTAAAAAAGAGAAAGGGGTCAATATCATGAGTCACTTTATGAAATGCCATTAAATATGCTTGACCTAATCCTTGAACCCAAATTAAATGAAAACTTATGTCCCGGTTGAGGCATAGAACAAGTCAACCAACTTCTAACATTAATATTTTTCATTACATGTTTGATGTGAAAAGCCTTTGCAGGCCATGTGAATTTATACATGGAGGGCCCCTTTTTCGTGTACGTCACTATCCATTTTGTGGTGGGATATGCTCTGTTTCGGTTCCAATTTTTTTTTTCTGATTTTTCACTTTCATCCAAAGGTAGCAAGAACAAGTGGAACAACTTCCAAATGCTTTTACTTCTCTCCACTTTTTCCCTTTCCCTAACACAAGGGATGTATACAATTAATCATAAGTTTTTCGAGTGAGGAGAATTCACAGCAAACATATCTAAGAGAAAGTATTGAAAATCTAAGTATGAGTTCAAATTTTATAACGAAGAGAAATGAAAAAGTAGAATAGTATATGAAGGTAAAAACTTATTAGTTCGTTATCTTAAGATTTTGGATAGAGAATGATATAAGTTTCTTATATGATTTAATTCAATTCTCACTTTAATGAACCTCCTCTTCGATAGACCGAACAAGTTATATCAACGTAAGAAAGATTAATTTTAAAGCAAAACTCACTTTCATTTAACTCGTTTTGGTTTCCATAGTGGAGAAAGTGATGCTACTTCAATAGTTTCCTTCAAATGTAGAAATTTTGAAAAGGGGTATTCTTTTTATGCATGTTAAGTTGTAAAAGAGAAATCGATTCATGTGTAAAAAGATGAAATTTGTTTAATGAATGCAGCTAATTTGTTTTCCGGGTTCAGTATGTGGGCACCTATGTGTTGCATAATGGTGCAAGAAAATAGTAGTAGTGTTGCTCATCAATGTCCTAAAGAATTTTCTTTTACAAAGCCATTAATGATATTAGAAGTTGGACATCATGTCTTCTGGTGGGGTTACCATTCTTACAAGGCATTAATTAAGAAATTAATTGTAACTTTTATTTATCAAAAGTACAATGAAAATGAGGGTTGTGTTGTATTAAAACTAGCTTTTAGATGCCTGTAAAAAAATACCGATTTTAATAAGAGGTATCTATACTTTTGATTCCTTACCCTTATGAAAATCGCACGCATTTGAGACACCTATCTGCAAACACGATAAAGCGAATATTTAAAGTGCTACTACCTAACGCTGCTCTTCATTTTTCTCATAATTGCAAACAATTTAATTAGATGCCATCACACTTTTCCTTAAGCATGATGAACAAGTTGCTACTTCTATTCAATTTCGTAAAAAAACACAAATAATGAGGAGAATAATGGACGAAAATAAGAAACAAGTTGGGAAAAAAGTTGCCATGAAAACTTGCTTCTCTTTTGATGAGAACCAAGTATTGAGCTTACAATTAAATGGAACCAAATGTTCCTTGAAATTCTACTTTCAGTATTTCAATTATTTCGACATGTACGGCATTGTATGCGACATTACATACAATTGATCTTCTTCTATTTTTAATTTAACGTACAGTGTTGATTAATAGAAATCGTGCTGTTTTTCTGAGAGTTACTGCGAAGAACACAAGTTGTTCGTTTGATAATATAAAAGTAAGAAGGGTAAATCTAAGTCACACATTAGATATAAATAAGAAATGAAATATTATATAAGAGGAAAAGACTCATTGATCCATAGTTTTAAGATTTTAGATAAAAAATGGTGTTAATTTCTTATATGATTGAGTTAATATCTTATTGGTGTTTGTATTTCTTCAGAAAATTTCTTTCTAAATAAACCATAAAAATATATCTTATATTTTCATAATTATTTGTTACTTATTTAGTGTTTTTTTTATTAACATAGGCGGGTCTAAATGTGGTTGTATCAATTTTAATTGTATCGAAAAATTCGGAGCAAGTGCTGGAAGGTCCCATGGAAAACCCCAAATTGAGTTGGGCTGTAGAGGTTATCCGAATTTATGAACAATTCACATCAATAGGGTTGGAAATGATATGCCAGAAATAGTAGAGTTAGCTGTTGGTGGTAGGAAACAAAAGTTTCATAATCATCTTGCCTTTTCTTTTATGTGAGACAAGTTTCAGTGGACAACACCCGAGGAAGGCAGGTGGTGATGAAAGGGGTAGCACAGAAGAGGCACAACCAACAAAAAGTAAAAGACAAAAGCAATTTTTTTGTCTTTAAAGTCAAAAGCCAGATAAATAAAGCACAAGCTTCGATTCACAAGCTTTAATTTATGTTTTTGATTTTGTAAAATTAAAATGAAGTCTTTTTCAACATTTAAACATTTTCTAAATGAATATTAGAACAAATTCTGTGAGTGTAAGAACAAGCAACCTAGGGTATTTTATGGCCAGAAGTAAGTTTGGGTTGAGCAAACAATTTGGTAAAAAGAACAAAACAAGGATTTAAAATAAGAGGAAAAGCAAGTTTGAACGTTTGGTAAAGGAGGCAAAATGGGAGGGAGACTTTAACCTGAAGGAGCTTTTAGCATGGTTAACAGTATTTATGTCAACAATTAGAATGGTGGAAAAGTGTGCTTTACGTAAACAGATTTGAATTCAAATTTAATGAGTTATTATTATGAAATGTGCACATGGGGGGCAATCTTAAACGATACCGCTAATCAAGTGAAAAAGAAAGGCTTAAAACATTAAATAAATGAAATCCGGCGTGCCATCATCCTTAAAAGGGTCCTTGGGATGGAAATCCAGGTCCCACCACCATGACCAGAATTAAGGTCCTCTAAACTATAGACAACAGGTGGTGTGACCTCGATCCAAGATTAAGGGTCATTTCAAACCGCAAGTATAATCTTTGATGACAGCAACAACCACAATTAGATTCCTAACTTCAACTTAACTATCAGGTTTTAAATAAAAGAACTCTAAGCATCTTTCTGATTCTGTAAACCCTCCTCCGCGCTATGCAATGCGTTTTGCCAAGACACTGGATATTGCCAAAACCATATCTAAAGTTGAAAGAAAGATGGGGTTGGCTTTTGGTTGGCAAAAACCATATTCGAAGTTTAAACAAAGATGGTGGTGGAGTTGGAGCTCTGAAGCACAAAGGTATATTGCTCCAAAAATTTGAATTGAAACAAGTATATCACTAACTGATCAGATGATGAAGTTAGTCTATCTCATTGGCATGGTATGACAAATGAGGGGACATCACATAAATGCAAAATAGAGATTGGCAGGCATAAGCACACACACAACATTCTCATAGCAGAGAAATATTTTCGAGACACTGGTACGAGAAAGGAATTACCTCAATTCAGAAAATCAATACATGTAAATGTTCTTAAATTATACTATCAATTGCAAAACAAAAGAAACAAAAAATTAAATAAAAAAAAGTATGATATAAGAGAGACAATAACAATAAACTCCACAAACCTGCAGAAGCAGCAGCAGTAGCAGAAAGTGCTGCTACTCTCTATGCAATACAACCCTGAATTATGGTCTCCAAACTCATCCCTATACATACACATTTTCTCTGCAACCTACTCTTTCTCTGCCATTTTTATTTCACAACTCGAATATCCATAACAATTCAAATCAATATGGAGAGAGACTTTCTCCTCCTACCGCAATCCACTGTGATCTCCTCTCTGTTTTCCTATACTAGAACAAACATCACATGCAGCCTTACACAAACCCTTCTGGTTCTCTCAGGTTTTATTTTTCGCGACGAGAGTCGCGTACTTACTTGACATGGCTGGCACAGGAAGAGGAGGGCACAGCAGAAATAGCCACCAATAATAACAAAAGTATGAACTGAACTTGAATGGTTTTTTTCATTGCTAGGGTAGAGGGCAAAGGGTTAGAGGAGAAAAGTTCTCAAAAGAATCAATAAAAGGGAGGTGGAGGAGGAGATGCATATGAGACTCCTATGACGGGTGGCAAAGGCCCTTCATATACAGGGGCTGGTGGTGGAGACGAAGGAGGTGGGGGCGGCGGTGAGTTGTAATAATAAACAGGTGGCGACGATGGTGGTGGAGGAGAACTGTATTGAACTGGAGGAGGTGGTGGTGATGGCGATGGCGGTGGCAGGTAAGGTGCAGGATGTGGTGATGGTGGTGGTGGCGAATGCTCTTCACAAGGCGGTGGTGATGGCGGAGGTGGAGGCGGTTCTATACAGGGGGGAGGTGGTGGTGGCGGTTCTATACATGGTGGAGGAGATGGTGGTGGTGGTGAATGGACCGGTGGAGGTGGAGAGTGAACAGGAGGAGGTGGGGGCGGTGACAGATAGGGATAAACTGGAGGCGGCGGTGAATGTGGTGGCGGTGGTGAGTGTGGTGGGGGCGGGGGAGGCGAGTGTTGTGGTGGCGGTGGTGGACTGTAGTAGTATTGAACAGGTGGTGGTGGGGAGAATACAGGACTTGGTGGAGGTGGAGGTGATGGCGGAGGTGGTGAAGGTGGTGGCGGAGACCTTACACAATAAACCGGTGAGGGCGGTGGCGGGGAAGGTGGCGGCGGTGAAGGTGGAGGAGGAGGTGGCGAATAGACTGGTGGTGGCGGGGATGGGGGAGGAGGAGGTGGCGAATAGACTGGTGGTGGCGGGGATGGGGGAGGAGGAGGTGGCGAATAGACTGGCGGTGGAGGGGATGGCGGAGGTGGTGATGGTGGTGGCGGTGAAGGTGGGGGCGGAGGTGGAGAATAGACTGGCGGGGGCGGTGAAGGCGGAGGTGGTGAAGGTGGCGGAGGTGGAGGCGGTGGCGGCGGCGGTGGAGGCGAATACACTGGAGGTGGTGGAGGAGGCGAATACACTGGAGGTGGTGGTGGTGGCGAGTACACCGGTGGTGGGGGCGGAGGGGAACGGGGGACATAAACAGGCGACGGTGGCGGTGACGGCAATGGTGGTGATGGTGGAGGAGGAGGAGGCAAGGTAGGAACAAAAGGCTTACACCTAAAAGACTTGCAATCGACAGGGTGTGACAAAAACGACTTGCATTGTCCTGCGGAGCGCTGGAAGGGCCTGGCCGGTAGGCAGTTGCGGCGGTCGTCAGCCGCCGGCAAAGCGAGACACCGGGGCGGCTCGCCGGTGAAGAAGTTGTAAGAGAAAGTAAAGTTCTGGAGATTGGGAAGCTTGCAAATGCTCTCGGGAATCTTCCCAGAGAGTAAATTATGAGCCACATTGAGCTGCTCCAAACTCACGGCACCTCCGATGGCGTCAGGCAAAGGACCTAACAACTGGTTGAAGCTCACATCGAACACCGTCAAGTTCTTCAACAATCCTATCTCCGCGGGGAAGCACGACCTGAAAGCGTTGTTCATCAGAATAATCTCGTTCAACCCCTTCATGTTGCCGATTCCAGCCGGCACGCAGCCATGGAAGCGGTTGTTGGCCAGCACGATCACGGACACCGGCGAGTTGCCAAAGTTATCCGGCAGGTCGAACACGAAGCGGTTGTCGTTGATGAAAATGGCGTCGAGGTCCTTGTCGAAGAGCTCCTTGGGGACCGTGCCTTCGAATTCGTTGAACCTCAGATCTAGGAACTTGAGCTGCGGCAGACGCAGCACCACGTCGGGGAACTTTCCAGCGAATCGGTTGTTGCTGAGATCCAGCTCGAAGAGGAGTTTGAGCTTGTCGAACTTGTGCGGCACGGTGCCGCAGAAGCGGTTGGTGTTGATATGGAGAAGCGCAAGGTCAGTGAGCAAGCCGAGCTCCTCGGGGAGATATCCGGCAATGTCGCCGTGGTTGAGGTCGATTCCGGCGACGGTGCGGATCTTAGGGTTGTCAAGTGCCGGAGCGCAGAAGACGTAGGTGTAGTTGCAGACATCGGGCCCCACCCAGTTTAGCGTGAGGTTTTTGGGATCAGAGAGAATGGCCTGCTTCCATGCCTGTAACGCTATGTAAGCGTTTCTCAAACGGTCGTTCTCGAAGCGGAAAGAGGGATCTACGGTTACTTTTTCTCCTCTGTCACCAAACTCGTCCTTGTAGTACAGAAGCTGGCGCTGCTTGATGTAGGTGGCTTCCGCGTCGGTGAGAGGCCCATTGTGGGAGATTCCTTCAGAGGCACAGAGTGACTGCAAAAGCACAACGACGAAGAGAGAAAGAGAGAGTGAGAGTGAGAAGTGGAAGGAATAGGTTTTCTTCCTCATCTCACATGCCGCATCTGAACAACCCAATTCAACACGCGATTTCTTCCACCCTTCTCTCAGATCTGCTTCAAATACTACTGCACCTCGATTGCTCTCAATGCGCGTCAGCGACTCACTGTGTTTCTTTCTAGGGATTTAGGAAGAGTGCCAGAGAGAACCCCTGAAGGAGCGTATAAGAGTCTGTGAAGAGAGAGGAATGTGTGAGGTTAAATTATAATTTAAATTAAATTTAAATCAAAATTAAATAAAAACAATTTAATAATTCATCAAAAGGACAGCTAAATCACAGCTCAAAGCCCACCAGATTCTCTATCCTTCTTCTCTTCCGCACTCGCTTTTCCTTTTCTTTATTCATTTTTCTATATTTTCCAAAATTCATTTTCTACTTCTTTTTTTTTTTCGGTATTTTCTGGCTCCTTCCTTGCGAGACGCAACAAGTTCATTATTATTTTTATTTTTATTATTGCTTTTTTAAAAAACTTAGTTGGCACTCACTCGCTTACGCTTTGAATAAAGTGGTTTACGCGGAGAGATGGAATGGCAAGAGAGAGAGATTAGACCATTCCCACCAAACATGCATTAATTTAATACGTTCTTTTCAGGAAATAAACTTAATAATTAATTAATCGATATTTTTACATACTCTAATTTCTTCCCTATATTTCTATTACTAATAAGATTCACGATAATATTAGTGAAAATTGATATAATAAAAATATTTTTTGAAAACTAAGGTGGTTTTCCTAATGATTGTTTCCGTTATATTTTATGAAGACAGACGTGATGTAGCAGTAGTTGTTGCATCCATCAAATTATAACGCGCCTCTCTATTTGACAGATGATTTAGGCTTAAAAAGTAATTATAAACCGTTAGCACGATGATGTGGAAATTGTGATTGCCACAAATTTAATTTAACTATAGAATTTTTGTTTTGCTGATTCATAATCCGAGAGCTGTTCCTCTGTGTCGGTGACCACTGTCAAATCAAACACCTCTCTAACTAAATTAAATGGCCGTAACTTTATTTCCATTAATAAAAAAATAAGAGAATAATATATTTTGTTGCTAATTTAATTTCGTATTGTACAGAATGAGATTTATTTGATTATAAAATACGTAATACGTATACGAGTAGAGTGCTGATTAAAATACGTAATACGTAATACGTAATATTTAATGTCACGCACTCACACCTCTTGAGCTTTTTCCGTAATTCAATTCCCGTGATGGCGATAACTTCTGGACGGACTTTCGCCTTTCTAACTAATGGCTTTTTCTGGTTAATAGATTCCACCGTTTCCTTTTTTTTTTCTTTTTTTTTAATGAAATTAAAAAAACACATGTACTATCATCACCGTGAATTGATTCACTTTAATGATTATTACTTTAAAAATGTATACCGATAATAATTTGTAAATAAACACAATTATAATAAACTTTAATAATTTATTAATGAACTTCCTCTCGTTTATTTAAGAATATTGTATCCTCTGATATATTTATTAATTGTATATACATCATTATTAATTATTTATCTTCTTTTTCGCTTTTTAATAATACTTTATTTGAATTTTCCATCGGGTCATCCATTACATGTGAAGAAAGACCACTGAATCCAGTTTTTAAATAGTTAATCCTTTGTAAAATAATTAATGACATTAATATAGAATACATATTTGATAAGATTTTTAACATTTTATTCATCATTCATTAAGTAGATTAAATTTAATTAAAGTGTGTGCATAAGATATNTCAAATCAAACACCTCTCTAACTAAATTAAATGGCCGTAACTTTATTTCCATTAATAAAAAAATAAGAGAATAATATATTTTGTTGCTAATTTAATTTCGTATTGTACAGAATGAGATTTATTTGATTATAAAATACGTAATACGTATACGAGTAGAGTGCTGATTAAAATACGTAATACGTAATACGTAATATTTAATGTCACGCACTCACACCTCTTGAGCTTTTTCCGTAATTCAATTCCCGTGATGGCGATAACTTCTGGACGGACTTTCGCCTTTCTAACTAATGGCTTTTTCTGGTTAATAGATTCCACCGTTTCCTTTTTTTTTTCTTTTTTTTTAATGAAATTAAAAAAACACATGTACTATCATCACCGTGAATTGATTCACTTTAATGATTATTGCTTTAAAAATGTATACCAATAATAATTTGTAAATAAACACAATTATAATAAACTTTAATAATTTATTAATTAACTTCCTCTCGTTTATTTAAGAATATTGTATCCTCTGATATATTTATTAATTGTATATACATCATTATTAATTATTTATCTTCTTTTTCGCTTTTTAATAATACTTTATTTGAATTTTCCATCGGGTCATCCATTACATGTGAAGAAAGACCACTGAATCCAGTTTTTAAATAGTTAATCCTTTGTAAAATAATTAATGACATTAATATAGAATACATATTTGATAAGATTTTTAACATTTTATTCATCATTCATTAAGTAGATTAAATTTAATTAAAGTGTGTGCATAAGATATCTTACTAATAATGTACTTAAAAGCTTATATATTGTAAATATATTCTATAATGAAAGTCGTTTGATTAGAGACGCGGAGTTTTAATTAACTTGGAGAAAATATTAATTGGAATCATTTAAGATAAATAATTTTATAATAGGTTCTGCGTTTCACTAAATCTTTTTTTAATGGTGTAAAAGAAATCGAGGGAGTTAAAAATAAATAAAAAAAATGTGAGACTCCTTGTTTCAAAATAACAAAAGTAACAAAGTTATTAATAAAAAATTAACTATAAGGTCATTGATAACTTTCAATTTATCATTTGAAACAAAAGAACAGATTAATCATTGGACAATCCCTTAAAATATTCGAACACAAAGTGCAAGTGCTATTTCCAGTCAATAACTATTATTAAATGAATCTAGATTTATAGTTCTTTTTTTTTTCTTTTTATTCAACAAATAATTTCATCAATTTATTTATAGACTTTATAGGTTTTAATATTCATAAATCAAACTGAAAGAGACACGTTCTGAAATTGTTAATGTCATACTCTCTTCCAAAATGGACAGCTTTTAATTCCACGAGCTTCAGTTTTTCTTTTCTTGAAATTCCATGCCAGCAATTTCTCTAAAAATTTAGCATAAGATGAAAAATTACATATATATTATTATACTATTATTCAATCATAAATTGTCAAAAAAAAAAATAAGTATTATTTTATGGCAACAAATAAAGACAATAAACTTTTTATATGGTAGAGTGTAAAGACAAGAAGCAAATACAACTGCACAATGTATATATTTATTTTTCATTTTTTATATTTAGTGATAAAAAAAATTATGATGCATGTTGAAGTGCTTGAAACGCGTTTTGGTCATGAAAAAGTTAGCAACAACTGGAGATAATAACTTAATCAAAACGTGAATCTTTAATTGTAATAACTCTCTAAATTCATTACATCAATCACAAGTGTGACATTTTAATACATATGTTTATTTCGTAGTATCTTTGTCTCCCAGCGTTGAGTCGTGTTTATGAGTTGGATGGGTTCACACTTTCAGATAACCTAATAGGAATGCTCTATTTAGATTTTCAAAATTTTCGGTCAACCTAACCAGATCTATTCCTCAAAATTAAAAAGATTTAAAATAAATAAATAAATANGTAATCTTTCTTTCATTTGATACAAATGCATGTTAATTAACTACTTTAGGTATGATTTTCATTTGTTTTCACCGATTATTTTCGTGTTTTTGTCCTTCATATGGGCATTTTGTTTTCTCTCTCATTGGTGGCAACACGTGGCAACACTTTATTCCGATGAACTCACCTTTTAAAGGTTAGTTTTCGTTTTCGTTTTGAAGAACTTATTTGTTGAACTTGTTTGTTGTTTTTTTTTGTTGAATTTGCTTGTTGTTGTTTGGTTGAACTTGTTTGTTGTTGTTTGATTCAACCTGTTTTTTTGTTGGCTTAATACCTCTTTTGGTCCTCTTTAGGGGGGCAATGTTCAAGTCCGTCCTAACTTTTTTAAAAAGTTCAATGTGGTCCCAACTTGTGAAAAAAGTGTGTAATTAAATCCTTTTTGGTTACGGTGTTAATATTTTAACGGTCCAAGTGCCCTCCTGGACAAAACATAATGAGGTGTCCACCTTTTGTGATTGCGTGGCACTGGAAAGTTAAATGACATGTTCAGCGAGAGAGAGGAATCTGTGCGAGAAGAGGGAGATTGCGAGGCTAACGAGCTCTTCGACGAAGTGAAGAACGTGTTTGGCAGTTGTTGCGGAGAGACGATGGAGCTCGTCCCGAGTGGTGATGCGTTGTGTGTCATCTCCGACGATGGCAGTGGAATGGATAGCGGCCCAAATCTTGCAATTTGGGATTAGGGTTTTCGAATTTGAGTTTTTGTTTGATCTGAGTTTGGGTTCCTTTGAGAGCTAGAATCCCGACTGTAGAGCTGCGATCGTTGGGGCAGGTGGCTACAGTGTCGTAGGCCCTGGCGGCTTCCTCTACAGTGAAGCAACCCCAAAGACGCTAGCAGATGCCTCTGAAATGGAGTTTCCTTCTTGTTTTGGAGAAAATGGGGTTCAGGTTGCTGACTCATCCTCATCAAACACCACAAGAGCGGCTCAAAATGTTGTCACGTGTGTGTACCAGTGCAAATTAAGACGCCGTTCATGTTTGATCATGGTCTCCTAGACCAAAACTCTGATGGGTCAAGGCTTGAGCGTGGGAATTGATGATTTGGGAAATCATTGTCTCTGCAAGGTTGAGATAAAGCCATTGCTATTCTCAAAGAGAAAAGGGTCCAAGAATTTGGAGGTCCAATCTGGTAAAATTGATATCTTTTGGGATTTGAGTTGTGCCAAGTTTGGTTTCGGGCTTGAGCGCTGGAGGAGTTCTACTTAGCGGTGGTGTTCAACAATTTAAAACTTTCTAATTGAATATATACCATGCCCATTGGATTCAATATTACATTCATGTGAATTAAAATTCTTATGAATGATTACATTTTGTTAGAGAGTGAGAATTATTCTGAAGAATATTTATAAAAACCACTAATTTATTTGTATAATAAATAATCTAATAAAAATATGGTATATTTAGTAGAATTTATATCTTTACTTGATAACTTAGTTTCTGACCTCCATGGTAACGGTTTTCTTGAAAATCTGATTAAAATTCATATTATCAGCAAATAAATTTCTTTCTAAATTCAAAATTCAATATGTTGAACTTTATTCTTCGCAGTTCTATTTTGTTCAATATATTTAGCCATGTCATGTCCAATGATTTGAAATATATAAATGACATTAGGCGATCCAATACAACAACACAACAAAAGTTGAGTTCACAATTTCAGGGTGAATACTGTAATAAATACTTTTGTAGGTGAAATTATAGTATAATTTAAAGTGGTCAATTATTATTAACTTTTTTCTATAATCACGTGTTGCAATATTCCTTCAACTTAATTTAAAATAATCTATCTATTATAGTAAATAGTTTTTACAAAAAATATATGTTTTAATGTTACATATTTCATTACTTTAAATTAATTAAAATATTTTATACTTTAAGTTATGTTACTTTTGTTAATTGAACCTCCGTCAGTTTTTTGGTTTCTGAATCTACCGATCTGGGCTTGGGCTGGCCCAGGACAAAATCAAAATAAAATAATAAGGACTCTGTTTGGGGATTCTATTTTGCATTTTTTATTATTATTGACTATTAATTCTCTTTATTTAGTCTTTTGTTTTAATTTTTATATTTTATTCTATACTTTTTTGTTTAGTGACGTGAAAAACTGTCACAAAATGAAGACACAAAGACTAAGACGTAAGCAAATTCCTTATTTTAATGAGTTGTAAACCGAAAGTTGGTATACATAGTAGACTAAGGGTGTGGTTTGAATAATTGCAAAAATTAAATTATTTTAATAATAAATAATTTGTATAATCATTTTTATTATAGTAAATAATACTTAAAATCAATTTTTTTTAAATAAGTTTGATAAAAACGATGTGAGGAAATTCATTTTCGTTTGATAGAATAAAAATTAAAGTATGAGATAAACAAATGTGCATATGGGTTGATAATCCTTGGATTGTGATTTAGGTCTTCTAATACAAGATTTGGGCTAAAGGCCCAAATGGAAAATGTTAACCGTCCTACAAGTTGCAGAAAGCATTACAGTAATTAATAGGACGGTGGTGATGGGAGAAGGAAAACGCAATACGTAAGTTGTGACTTTGCGAGAGAGACGCGGAACGAAGCCGCAGAAACTTTGAATGGAAAGTGTGATTGATTTTGGGAAAACCAAGCCAAACAATGTGTTATATTGTACTTCCAGCTTATCCCAAATAAATACAAATTAAATTAAAATAATAAATAATCGCGGTTGGCGTGTCCAATGTGTAAAATTAAAAAGTAGCTTGGTTTCGCGGCGTGTTTGGGGTCAACGTGCAATTAACGGTTTTTAAGAGAATATGCCGTTGATGTTCCTCGCAGACATTCTCAGATGCCAAGTGGGTCTGAGTGAGAAACAGAGAAAGATAGAGATAGAGATAGATAGATAGACGCACCTGTTAAGTTTTCTTCTCTTTCATTTATTTCTGTTGCACGCTCTTCTCCTGTGATCTTTTTTCCATTTCTCTCTCTCTCTCGCCATTCAAGGTACCTCTTCTTTCTCTCTTTCTCTCTTTCTCTCTCTAATGATTTTCCGTCGTTCAAAGATTGGAACGTCGCTTGCAATTGATTATCTCTGCAACTTCTCTTCCAAAGATTTCGTTCATTGTTGCTTTTCCTCGAATAGCTTTTTCTTAGCGTCGTATATTTGTGGCTTGAATATTCTGTTACCTGTTTTGTTGCTTTATTTGGCTGCTTTGCCGCAATCTTGTACGATAAAGAAAACGATAGCGGAGGAAATAAGAAAGAAGGAAGAAAAACAGAGAGAGAGAGAGAGAGATATTGAGATTAGGGCTTCGTTCTCTCTTACCTAATTTGATTCGTTCAACTATATATAAACTATTCGGAGAAGTTCAGTTAACTGCTTGATAAGGTTGATTTCGTGGTTTTCGTAACTCTTAGTTCGCGTTTTGCCTGTTCGTGTCGTTGATTTGATATCGATGACTTCGGTTAGGGTTCTGCGCATGTGCTGAGATCATATGAGAAGCGTGAAGTTCATGCACGTGTGAGAATGTTTGAATATGGAAGTGCGATGGAATTCAAATGAATTATTATTAGGAAAAAATGAAGGAAGGGTAAAAGAAGAAGGATGGGTGGCGAAGACGTGAGGCAGAGTTTGTCGTGGTGGTGAACGAGAATGAATTGGTTTGTTGTTGAAACAAGAAAACGGCAATTCACAGCTTTTGCTTTTTGTTTTTTCACTTAGTTTTTAATGCTTTTGTTCAGCGTCTCATGCTTGGTCGTTATGCCATTACTTGAATGAACATTTAATTGCTTATTGAATGGTTTTATTGTTCCTCTTGATGTTGATGGTGTGGTTACCTTTTTGCAACGAATACTGATATTACTGCCTTTTTTTAAACTTTTGGTGCAGGATTCTGTTCGTGCAGCTCTCTATGGTTTTCTGGAGCTCCTAAAGTGAACTTCATTGCTAGAAATTTGATACATAATATTAGATTTTTTTAAAAATTTAATTGGAATGGGCTCTAGCAAGCAGTCTGCTCGTATTCTTGATACGTTGAAAATGGAGAGGGTTAGAACTATTTTAACCCACACTTATCCATACCCTCACGAGCATTCCCGCCATGCTGTAATTGCTGTTGTTATCGGTTGCCTCTTTTTCATCTCATCTGACAATATACATACTCTTGTAGAAAAATTAGACAACAATGTTAAATGGTGGTCTATGTATGCCTGCTTGTTTGGGTTCTTTTATTTCTTTTCATCACCATTTATACACAAGACTTTCAAACCGAGCTATTCAAATTTCAGTCGATGGTGAGTTTCTTTGGTAGCCATTTGTGTATATGCTATTATGTAACTTTATGAAACATTTTATAGAATTAGAAATAATTAGGCCTCCATTTGTGCAGGTACATAGCTTGGATTTTAGTGGCAGCTGTGTATCATCTTCCTAGCTTTCAGTCAATGGGAGTGGATATGAGGATGAACCTATCTTTGTTTTTGACCATATATCTCTCTTCCATCTTGTTTCTTTTTGTCTTCCACATTATATTTCTTGGCCTCTGGTATATTGGCTTTGTTTCACGTGTAGCTGGAAAGAGACCAGAGATCTTGACCATTCTCCAAAACTGTGCAGTAAGTTTTTGGAGATGATTGTTTGTGTCCTTTGAAGTTGCAATATTGTTCTAATGCTATTTCTTTTAATGAATAATAGGTACTTAGCGTGGCCTGCTGTGTATTTTACAGTCACTGTGGTAACCGTGCCATGCAAAGAGAGAGAACGCTTTACCAAAAAAATTCTAACTGGTTTTCTTTCTGGAAGAAAGGGGATGGGAACACTTGGCTTGCAAAGTTTCTTCGGATGAATGAATTGAAAGACCAGGTTTGCTCATCTTGGTTTGCTCCAGTTGGTTCTGCGAGTGATTATCCTCTCTTGTCAAAATGGGTTATTTATGGCGAGGTACTTATAATAATATAATTATTTGATTATAAAGTCTGCAGCCTTAATTTATATATGTTTAAATAAATATATATATATATATATATATATAATATATATATATATGAGATAATGATATGTACTGTGTTTTTTTCGTAAGAATTTAGAAAAATGTTCTTTTAATATTGATAATAGTTTAAAAATAATAGAATTTGATTATTTTAATATTAAACTAATTTATTATAAATAGTTTTGTTATTAATAAATTCATTATTTGAAAATATAATATATTTTAAAAAAAAAATTTAATTATTTTGATTTATCCTCAAGATTTTTAGGTAGAACAATTTTTATAATTTTGGTTATAATTTTTTGTACAATATTCCATATTACTTTCTTAAGATTTAAGTAGGAATCCTCCACCTGTGTTTTATATATATATATATATATAATACAATCTCTAATACTCAATACTTATAAATCATTTAAAACATAGACATCTGAATTAAGATCAGTGTATTGAGTGATTAAAAAACTCGACACCTATCATGCTTATCTCCTCCTACCTCTCACGAGTTATAGTTATAGGTTTGATTTTTTTGAACTCACAATCACAAGTAGACCATGACACGATAAATTTCTATATTTGCGATATAGAAACCTCCATCGGCTCTCACCACTAGAAATTCATGTGTCTTATATTAGCCAAGCTAGGATAGTCCCCACCTAATTTTGTTTTTTGTGCTTGCTTTTGAATTATATTTGAAGTTTCAAATGACTTTTATATTGTATTTGGATTGTATTATATATTTTTTATTTTGAATTGTCTTTGGAATTTAACATCATTTTGGGTCGAATTTTATTTAGATATGAATTAGAAAAAATTTGTTATATTTTTTGGAATTGAAAAAAAAAACTTGTCATTAAGTGATGCAGTAAGTCAACCCGTTTAACCCACCAACCCATGGTGAGCCAGGTCGGATTTAGATTTTTTCTACTCGTTTGTAAGTAATTCGGATTTAGTTAGCTCACTAAGTAGCCAACTCGTGGTAGGTTAGATTGGGTTGGGCTGGATGATCCGTTTTGACAACACTAATTGGCTTTGTTCCAGTGGGTTGCATGACTATGGTAAGAGATGTAGAGATACATTGATAGTATTGTGTTTTTGACTAATGATGATAAAAGGATTCACATTAATAAATATATCTCAACCTCATAGTTGTTTAATCACACGATACAATTTAAGTGATTAGGAGATGTCATAAACTTATATAGTAGCAATCATTTATTATATGTCATCCAATGACTTATGATTATCATAATTTTGAAAATCTTTTAAAAAATATTCATACTTAATGATATAATAATATGTGATTAAATTTGAGTTTCTTTTCATAGGTATAATTTTGATGTATGTATGATCACATTGTGTAATACTATATATGGTATTTTTATTAGTAATTTTTAAAGTGAGTATGATTATAGAACATGATAGTGTTTTCTCTTTTTTGATTTATTTATATTTTAGAAGAAATTATAACTTCAATGTAAATATTTTATATTTTAAATATATATATATATATATATATATATATAT